TGTTGCCCAGGCTGGAGTGCTGTGGCGTGATCTTGGCTCACTGCAACCTTCGCCTCCCGGGTTCAAGCACTTCACTGCCTCAGCCTCCCGAGTAGCTGGGATTACAGGTGCCCGCCACCACGCCCTGCTAATTTTTGTATTTTTAGTAGAAATGGGGTTTCACCATGTTGGCCACGCTGATCTCGAACTTCTGACCTGAGGTGATCCGCCAGCCTCGGCCTCCCAAAGTCCTGCGATTACAAGCATGAGCCACCACGCCCAGCCTAAAGTGGTAAATTTTATCTTATATATATTTTACCACAATAAAAAAAAGATACAGAACTAGGGTGAAGGTGGGGGAAACTGTATGTGTGTGACCCATGTAAGAAATTGCCAAAATATTTATAATAATTTATTTAAGAATTCGAGAGCAGAATGATTTTATACTAATTTAACACTACTTTGTACATTTGAAGTTTTCTAACACAACGTATTCTATTACAAAAAAAGGGACACTAAATTTTGGGAGGAGCTAAACATCATTTTTGTCTGTTTCTGTGCAAATGCCTCTGTTGTATTGTCTGTTCCTGGCAAGGTGAATTATTTATACACAGCATTATCCATGCTCACGACCATGGGAAACAGTCCAGCCCATCTATTAGGGCAATACTGCAAATAATTCATATTGGTCTAGCTCCTCTGACTTTCAGAACAAGCTCCTTGAGCAGTTCTCAGGGAGGTCCAAATGGAGTCAATCAGCACAAAACGTGCTAAGTGTTTGGCTGGCAGTCTGAGCCTTCCCTTCTGCTGCATAAGCTATCAGGAGGCCAGAAGGAATTTGCTGCACCAGCAGTCCCTGGACCAGAGTTTGGCAGTAGGGCGGAGCTTTAGGCAGGACCTTTCAAGAAGAGGCCAACACAGTCGGTGTTTTCTTTTGCATAAAAATATATGATAAACATCAAATGTATCATATAATAAATATGGATGAGTTGAAGGAAGGAAAGAATTACCTATAAGCCTACAACCTAGAGATAAGCATTGTGAACATTTCTGTATACTGTATATATATTCCAGATAGTTTTCTTTTCTTGTTCTCCTTTTCACTCCCTTTTCCCATCCTTTTCCTTCCCCCATCTCTCATTTTCCTTGTTAAAAACTCATACGAAGAAATATCTGTGTAAGTATATCTACCCACATGCAAATATACACATGCATATGCATGTATATGTGTATATATAAAACAAGTCACACGATTGGTAGACAGGCTCCTGCACTGCACATCCCCTGAGGAGTCCCATTCGCTCCAGGGCTAGGTGAACAGTGCCTCTGGGGTAGTAGAGTGCACGGCATAAGCATCACAGCAGCCCTGGGAAAGATGATGGTTTATCTCATCTCCCCCCTCCACTTCCAACTCCAGTCTACACCAAGATTAAAGAGGAACTCATGTTTTCTTCTTCAGCGGTTTCGAACTTACCTTTAGATTCCCTAATCCATTCAGAGGTCACTCTTATGTGTGTTTTGATATATGGATCTCTTTTTTATATTTTTCTAAATGACTACCCTGTATCCCAGCAATATGAGATGCCACCTTTATCTTTCATCTTTTCATATGGAGCAATTTTTAAAAATTGAATACAGTACAGTGTGTGTCTTAGTGCAGTGGCATGATCATGGCTCATGGCAGCCTTGACCTCCTGGCCTCAAGCAAACCTCCCATCTTGGCCTCCCAAAGTGCTGGGATTACAGACATGAGCCACTGTGCCACAAGTGTTCTTGGTGGAAAAGTTGGTCTAATACCTTCATGGTTTGAAGCAGAAGTTTGAGAACATTCACTGTTATATCTCAAATCAGTGGTCTGAAAGATTAAGCCAAAAGTCTGTCTTGGCTGTTATAACAAAGTTCCATAAACTGGATAGCTTATAAATAACAGAAATTTATTTCTTATAGTTCTGGAGACTGGGAAGTCCAAAATCGAGCCACCAGCAGATGTGGTGTCTGGTGAGGTCCTGCTTTCTAGTTCATAGATGTCATCTTCCAGCTGTGTCCTCACATGGGGGAAGAGGCAAGGAATCTCTCTCGGGCTTCTTTCACAAGGGCACTATTCCCATTCATAAAAGTTCTGCCCCCAAAACTTAATTACCTCCCCTAATTACCTCCCATACCTCCCTTTTATTTAATACTATCACATTGGGGGTTAACATTTTAACATATGAATGGGGGGATACATACAGATATTCAGACCATAGAAGTATATATGCAAAATTATAGTGGCCTAGATAGATAATATTATCTCCTTCTAGGAAAAGAAGGAGATAAATTAAATTACATTAAAATTAATTTTATTTTATTCTGGTGGGCAGCTAAAGGAGGGACAGTTCACCCTTATCCAATTAAAGTCTTGAAATAATTCAAGACTAGTTTCAATCTTGTGAGATGTTTATTTCCAGTATGTTCCTCCTCCGAAGGGGTGGATTTCCTGAAAGCCTAGAGTATTTATCAGGTTCCTTTCACATTGATGAGACCTGCACTCTAATTTTTGTTTTCTCAATGCTGTGATACTACTGGTCTCAGCATAGCTGCTGCCGTCTGCATAGTTTTTCTGCCTCTTGACCCGTGTTACTTAGGAAAAGGTGCTGGCTGCTGGCTGCCTTGGTAGTGCTCCAGGACCTTAAAACAACTGTTTTATTTTACATTTTAAAATTTTGGGGGTTTTTGTTGTTGTTGTTGTTGTTGTTGTTTATAGACAGGGTCTCGCACTGTTGCCCAGATTGGAGTGCAGTGGCATGATCATGGCTCATGGCAGCCTTGACCTCCTGGCCTCAGGCAAACCTCCCATCTTGGCCTCCCAAAGTGCTGGGATTACAGACATGAGCCACTGTGCCTAGCCTAAAAATATTTTCTCCATCTTCCACAAGTGTTCTTGGTGGAAAAGTTGGTCTAATACCTTCATGGTTTGAAGCAGAAGTTTGAGAACATTCACTGTTATATCTCAAATCAGTGGTCTGAAAGATTAAGCCAAAAATATCATACAAACCAGAAAGTAAAAGCAGAAATTATGCATGACAAAAATAGTTGAATTGGAGGATAAATCCAGGACATTCAACTTGCAAATCATGGAGTTTCTAGAAGGAGAAAAATGAAGAGATTCAGGAGAGGCAATAATGAAGCAAATGGTAGAAGAAATTTTCTTTGAGCCAATTTATGACCCAAATGTGTAGATTATAACTGTACCTGGGTTCTGGGTGAGACACATTGGTAAGATTCCTGAACTCTTAGTACTTTCAGACAAAAGAAAACTTATTTATGGAGGGAAATCATTTAGACTAGCCCCAGGTTTCTTCTCGGCAGCTCTGGAGGCCTGAAGATGTGGGAATTAAGTCTCCAGGCTGCTGAATGGAAGGGCCTTCAACTCAATGTTCTACACAGAGAGCTCATCATTAAGCAGACAGTGGGAAGGACAAACATGTAGATCTTCAAGGACGTAGTGAATGCATCTCCCCAACTGAGAAAAATATCCAGAAACAACTCTAACTAAATCACAGAGAGCAGAGACTCCAGATAAGAAAAGGTGAAGATGACACAGGATAATAGTATGGTATCCTGGCTGTTAAGAGTCAAATTTCTTAGAAGAGAAGCTGCCAGGCTAAGGGAGATTCTAACTGCAGCCTCAGATGAAGAGCATTCGACTATCTCAGCCAAACTTAAAAGCAGGGGTGGAAGTGAGGGGAGAAAAGAGGACAGAAACATAGTTTGAAGGGCTGAAGGAAGAGGGAGGAGAGTAGGGAAGTTTTATTGAGGAGTTTCTATTGACTTTCTCCGCATGATGTAGCTTGTACTCAAGTCATATTAGGACACAGCCATGGCATTGCCTTCGTGCTAGACCCACGTGTCTCTCAAGTGTGCACCTCTGATTCTCAGTGGCTTTGTTTTTCTCCCTTCCGTTTTAACATTCAGAAATGAGAAGACCCAGAAAGCTAGGCTGGCCAGGTGAGGGCCTCGGTTCTGCAACGGAGCAGCTGTTAGGATGTAGCACAAAGCCATATTAATGGGCTGAGGGATCTAAGTGTCAACGGCAGCTGATGGACAAATTCTCTCCCAGGAATCAAAAGTAAAGGAAGGGGAAGGAGACAGCTGGCGTGCATTCTCTGCCCACTCCCTGGTGCCCCAATGTCTTGGCATTTCACTGTGCTGGGTTCTTTGGGGCCAGTAGTGTGATTCTCTGCACTGGAAATTCAGGGGACATTTCACGTGTAGGTGGCTGGGATGTTTGAGGCAGGAAGGGATGAGGGGCGTTGAAATGTATTGCCACTCTAAGGGAACTGAAGCTGGGAGGAGCATCTCAGCAGTCACTCCCCCGGCACTCCCACGTCCTCCCAGCCTACAATTCCAAGGGCATACAGCTCTGCCTCATTTCTAAAGAATAACTATGAAAACGCTGGGAGCTGGAGGGACTGGGACTTTTATGTATTTATTTATTTTGTAGGGTGAGGAGCTATTATTCAAAGAGAAATGTTTGAGATCATATGAACAAAACAGTTGCTGTAGACATCTATGTTCATTCATGGAAACTGATTTTTGTTACATAAAACCTCACCTCTCGATAGGATGGATTAAAATGAGATTCTAGATATTGTTTTCTTTCTTTTGAATTTTTTGTAGTAATTATTCATGTTCATCACAGAGAAAATTAGAGTAATTAAAATGGAAACAAAGCAGATTTTAAAATGCCAAGATATAACCATAGTTTGAGGATTATCCTTCTAGAAAGACTTCTCTATGTCCACCTGTATACAACTGAAAACAAATGGCATCTTGCCATACACGCTATTCTGTAATTTGGGTATGGTATGGTATGGTATGGTATGTGTTTTCTCAATACTGCATCTTGGAGAGGATTCCATGACCAGGCTTCCAGTTCCATTGTAATGGCGACTCCGTGCTTTGTAACTTCTGTGTATGGTAATTTCCTATAGGTGTGTTTCTCTTTTGTAACCTGTTACAAATGTAATGTGTCTGTCTAGGCTTGTAGGAGACTCTGAGGAGGAGTGGCTCAAGGAGGAAATAGAGGCTGCTGCCCAGTCTCTGACCCTGTTTGGAAGGAACATCACACTGGTGGCTCAGAGACTCCATCTTCAGCCAGAATGTCAGCACCACCGGGAGGAGCTAGTGACCGCAGCTCAGCAGATCCTGGTGAACACCACAAAGGTGAGGCTGGTGTCAGAGCTGGCTGGCTGGTCAGTCTGGACAGAGAGCTCATTGCTGTCCTCAGTAGCAGACGCCTGCCCCAGAGAGAGAAACCGGCCCAAGTTTCTGCCAGGACCGCATGCAGAGTTGATCACCAATTTAATAAATGCTAAATGCAGAACCTGTCTTAGAAAGCTGGGTGGATGGCCGGGCGCGGTGGCTCATGCCTGTCATCCCAGCACTTTGGGAGGCTGAGACAGGAGGATCATGAGGTCAGGAGATTGAGACCATCCTGGCTAACACTGTGAAACTCCGTCTTTACTAAAAATACAGAAAATTAGCCGGGCGTGGTGGCGGACGCCTATAGTCCCAGCTACTCGGGAGGCTGAGGCAGGAGAATGGCGTGAACCCGGGAGACAGAGGTTGCAGTGAGCTGAGATCATGCCACTGCACTCCAGCCTGCGTGACAGAGTGAGACTGTCTAAAAAAAGAAAAAAAAAAGAAAAAACAAAAAGAAAGAAAGCTGGGTGGACATACTGAGTTAGGGTCTATGATCTTCAACCCACTGTGCAACCCACTTACCCCCCACACTTAGCCACCAACTTCTAATAAAAATATTTCATCAGAGGGGTCATTTTCCATCTTGCTTTTGTCCAGGAGCCAGGGGAGAGGCTACTGAAACCTCTGTAACTCTCAGCCTGTTTGGCAAACCTGGCTCCAAAGTGAGGGCTCTGCTGCACTGGCATAACTGGAAGGATCTCAGGAGGCCAAGATGATGCCTCAGCCTTCAAATACTCCCCGTTCTCCAGCCCTGACATTCCATCATTACCACACAGCGTTGTTCCTGTTAGAATCCAGATGCCTTGAATATTAGCAAATATTATTGTTAATCCTTAAAACTTTAGGAATGTGGGTTACGCACAAGTATTTGTAAATTAACAGGTCCTTATTAAAGGAAGGTTGGCGATAGGGAGTAGAGAATGTAGAAGGGTTTGTGGTACCTGCTGATGAGAGGAGGACAGGCGGGAAGGGCAGGCTCTTGGAAGTGCTTGGTACCACCTCTGTTGGAGGGGGTACATAAGGAGCTGTCTGAGAATGGCAGGGTGTGTCTAGCAAAGATTTCTCACAGGCACTGCCTGGACAGGCCGCCCCTCCGGCTCCCACCATCCTCATCCAAATAGTAAGTTCTCCCGAAACAGCTTTTGTTGCATGCGGGTTACCACGTAGCCGGTCCACTGCTCCACCCCTACCTACAGACCTGCACTCCAAACCCAGGTTGGACCTCACAGTAAATGTAGTTCAAACGCAAGAGGCCTTAAATTTTCATAAAATCTGACGTATTCGTATAAACACTACTCCTAAGCGACTTTTTTCCCTGAGATTCTACACTCTTTAGTCTTGGGAGGTGAAGAGGACAAAACATTTGTAAAACCAAGGAGGGAGTAGCTGCCATTGCTCTCGCCATGGCTCCGGAACCGGCAAGCACCTTCGAACCTCTCTGCCTCTCCTTGCCCGAATAGGTACTGCTCCTTGAAGACGCGGCGATGGCGAGGAAGATGGTGCGGGCGGCCGGTTGGTGCCTGACCTGCCTGGATGCGCTGGAAGCGGCGGGAGACGCGGCCTCGCTGCGCGGCCCCTTCGCAGAGCTGGCCGCGGCACTGCTGCGCCTGGGGGAACTGGCAGCGCACAGGCCAGAGGAGCGCCTGGGCCGCGCGGGCAGCCTGCTTCGGAGCTGCGTCCCCCCACTGATCGCGGCCGTCCGCGGCCACCTGCGGCATCCGCGCGATCCGCAGCTGGCTGCCTCCCGGCGCCGGGTTTGCGCTCTGGCCAGGAAGGCCCTCGGCGAGCTCCTGGTGCGGCTAGACCCTGGCGCCGCGGCCCCGGTGGCCGGCACGTGGAACGGCGCGCTAGCCCGAGGCCTGGGGCAGTTGCACCAGCTGCTGGTGGCGCCGGAGCCCGAGCCCCTGCACCTCGGCCTGCTGGACTCCCCGCTGGCCGCCGTGGTCTGGCACTGCATGCGCCTGGCCGCCTGCTCTGCGCCGCCCGAGAGGCTGCACCTGGTGGCCCGCTGCGGCCGGCTGCTGCAGTTGCGAAGCCTCTCGGGGATCAGCGGACCTCCGGGGAGAGGCCAGGGAAGGCCGGAGCCAGGACAAGAGCGCGCGGCGCTGTGGGCCGAGACCGAGGCCCTCTTTCAGGGGTTCCGCACTGGGCTACTCCGCCAGATCCTGGACACCTTCACGGACACGCAAAGTCCTCTCCTAAGGCTGTTCCAGGTGGCGGTGGCGACTCCCGCAGACAGCGCCCCTTATCATGACGAGGCCTTGCCAAAGAGCCTCCAGCTTTTTCTTGCTACTTTCCATGACAGGGCCAAGCAGATGCTCAGAGTGGCTCGCTTGGCACTGGTTTGCTGCCCTCGACAAGAAATTGGCAGAGACATGGAGGCCGCCATGGCAGGCATTTGGGGGCTCGTGGTAAGAGTGCAACAGCTTTTCTCAGGAAGCCCCCAAGGGTCTGGCCGGGACTGGAACCCTGTCACCCTGCAGGCCCTGCTTCGGGCTTGGGCCAGGGAATCCGAACACCTGTTGGCATGTTTTGATGATGTTCTCAGTATTCCTGAGTTCCTGAGTGTGTCCATTCAGGAAATGACCAAGCACTTGGACTTCTTTACATGGGCTTTGGAGAGTGGCAATTCCAGAGAGTTCTCCCGATGTGTGGCATATCTACAGGGCCGGGCCACACACATAGCACAGGTAATGAGCAGGTGTGTGGGCCGGGAACGAGATCCCATTTTCCGGAATGGCCTGAGAGTCTTGATCCAGCAGCTGGAGCAATCTTCATGGGTCTTGCGTGCAGCTGCTGAGCGCTGTTCACATGAATATGGCTCTCCAGACACTGATGCATTTTTAACCATGGCAAAACATCTGATCTATTCAGCTCAGAGCCTCAAAGAGGGGCTGGATGGGACTAACCACCCAGATATCCTCAGCCCCCTTCGGGACCAAGTCCACAGGTTTGACATTGCTAAGAGACAGCTTTATTTCATTCTCCCCAGCCTCCAGAGCTCTGCAGCACCTGAACTGAAGTATCAGAGAGCTCCTGGGTTAGGGGAAAATGACCCAGGCACCTCCTATCCACCAACGGACCATTCTCCCCACCCTTTGATTCCTGACACCTGTCCAAAGAGGAGGGGCTCTCCACCACCTGCCATCAGCAAACTCTTCCTTGCCGTAGAGAACCCTGACCACCAGGCAGTGGCCTCAGCTTGCACCAACCTGCTGGAGCACGATGCAGCTGTGGGTGCAGCCCAAGAGGCCCTGACTGGAGAGGGGCCACTGGGGCCAGAGAGGATGATGGGACTCCAGGGTATCTCAACACTGGCACCTCCTATTATTGACCTAGCAAAAGAGATAGCGCATTGCACAACTGCTAGAACTGACAGGCTTCTGGAAGTGGCTCTCCAGCTGAACGGCAGGACCAGGGAAACCAGGCAGGGTTTGGCAGCCATGGCTGGTGACTGGTACCCTCTGTGTCAACAACTGTTTTGCCACAGCCCAACAGCTGATCTGCCAGAGAGTACAGCAGTGTTCCTGGAGCTTCAGCGGAATTTAGCCTCACTGGTTCAACTAGCAGCTAAAAGTGGTCCCATGGATTTGGATAAAAACAGCCTTGATTCAACTCGCCATCCAGAAGTGCTTTTACAAATGCAAGGCAGATTGAAGGAGGCAGAGACTCGTGCTAAACAGTTGTTGGACAAGGTTTTGGCCTTTGATGGTCTCCAAGCCCCCAAGTCGTGGGAAGAAAGTGTTGAGGATGGGTGCCTTCTATGGTCAGTGGCTGTCCAAGACCTGCTCCAGTACGTGGAGCATCTCAGTGGGAGAAAAGGCCTGTTCCTACTGCCCCTGCGGCTGGCAATGAAGAACCAGCAGGGATTGCAGGAAGGGTTGGATCAGGCGGTAGATGTTTCTCAGAGGCTACAAGAGGCTGCCAGGCTGTCCAGCCTACTGTGTGGGGATGAGCAGAAAAAGGGTGAGGTGTCCTTTCTGCGCAGGGAAGTTCATGTACTCACAGATGCCCTGCTGGATGTGGCACAGATCTTGGCCTCTTCCCCCAGACCATCTCCCAGCCTGTCCACACGCTTTGAACTTCTCTGTTTGGAGCTCACCCTTCAAGTTAAGGCCTTGACTGGCCACCTCAGCATCATCAACGCAGACTACGAATGTGCCTTCCAAGATATTATCTTCCCAAGGCCTTCTGTCTGCAAGGATCCCCAGACTAGACCAGAAAGCTCCCTGGAAAGAATGGTGTCTGGTATCCAAGCTGTACAAGAAATTGTGGTAGAAGGTCAAGAGTATGGGCCCTGCCAGGAAGACCTCCTTATGACTCTGGAGAGCATTCTCACCCTCACTAAGGAGGTGGCCCAGAGGATCCCTGTGCTCCGAGAATACCCAGAGGAGTGGGGAATGCACATCCTAGGCTGGCTTCGATGGGAGTGGGCAGCCAAGGCCCACCATGCTGTGGCTGAGCTGCAGGCCTGGAAAGGTGGTCACACCAAGGCCTGCAGACATCTGGCCCAGTGCTTGAAACCTGGGGAGGAGCCAGCAAGGGCCCCAGAACAGGATTCCATCCAACCCCAGGTCTGCGAGGAGGATGCAGCAGGAGCCACTGCAATGGGCAGCGTGGATTCTCAGAGTGCTGCCCCTGGAACTCCCCTAGGGAGCTCAGTGAGGAGCTGTATTGCTGAGCCAGCTGTCCCTGGGACAACCACAGTGGACCCGAGCATGGTAGGGTTCTCAGCATTTTTCCTTCACCCCCACCTCAGTTCTCTTTCTAGTAACCAAGGACCCTGGCAAGTTCCAGAAAAAGCTGTCTTGGTGTCCATGTGTGTAATTCACACTAGGCAGGACAGCACACGCAGACTTTAGGAGCCCGAACTTGGGAAGGAGACTGCCTGGGCTGTGCCTGCCTCTACCATTTCCTTGTTCTGAGATCTCAGAGAAGCTCTGTAGTCATTTGGGGCTTCAGTATTTTTTTTCTAGAAAATAGGAGCTTTGATAATTTCCTGATGAAGAATTAATGAAAGCACGCAAAACATTTGCACTTGCCTAGCATATCGTAAGTATAAATGATGTCTATAATTATTACTGTCTTCCATGAAGTTTTTTCCTGATGACTCTAACTGGAAGCGATTCCCTTGCTGTGACGGACAGCACTCCTCCTCTGGATGGAGATGCAGATGCTACCTCCTTCCTCAGTCTGGGTTCTGTTGTTTGAATCCAACTTGAATCAGCACAGGCAAGAAGGATTTATTGGAAGGATGTTGGGTCTACTGAACACCATTCACACACATTCATTTCTTTCCAGGACAGCAGACAGGACACTTAGGCACCATGGGTCCCAAACATTCGATTTACTTATTTTTGCCCATGACCAAAGTCAGTAAGAGTTACCATAGGTTGGCAGTGCCTGAGAAGTTTCCAAGCAGAAATGCTCAGCCCAGCGTGTGATGCACAACCTGAGCTATCCCCGTTATGACCTTATGCCTAGCTGCACTGACCCCCTCAAACTGTTCCCTGGGTCTTCTCCTGAGATGAAACCGACCAGACCATGTGTTTTTCTGCCCCACTGCTCTTTACTTCACTTGGCTCAATACGATGTCATTACCATGTGAAGGGACCTTATTCCCAAAGGAGCAGGGAGGAGAGCAGGCACAGTTCCCTTTTTCCCTGCAGCCTGACTCTTCTGTGCTCAGACTCTATCTTTTAGGCTTGCCTCACTCCTTATCTCCTGGTCTCATGAATTCAGGTGCCGTGCGGGCTCCTCCTTTTCTTACCGGTTTTTCCATAGGTTCTTCCTGACACATACTTAAAGCCACTGGATTCACTGACTTAACATACTCTGTTTCTGTCAGTTCACCTGTACATTCCCCTTCTCATCAGTATCTGCTGAGGGAGCATCTCTCATAGGTGCAAGGCAGGGTGACACTGGCCATCCAGAATCAGGAGAGAGCAGCAAATTCAGCAGCCCCCATTACCATGCCTGTCCATGAATGGACATCATCGCTCCCATTGGAGGTTTCTTCTGGATGAAGAGCAAAGCCTCACAATTCCAAGGTTTCTACCCCAGGGAAGCACTTTCCTTGTACACACACAGTTCCAGTGTGAAAAAGCACAGGAAAAAGGACTCTGCCTGGAGGGCTTATCCTCAGGTGTGTGGGAGAATCGCCATCCGTGTTGTGTGTCTGACCCACTCTCCCATTCTCTGGGGCTTCTGCAGTGCAGAGACACACCCTCCATTCAACCCGGAACAGCACCTCGCACAGCCGTCAGAACCTGCTGAGGGAGCTCATGGGTTTGGGAAGGGGCTTGTGCATCTTCTGGGCACTTGTAAGTCACCATCTGGAAATTCTTTATTCTAGTTATCAGGGTCTCCAATACACAGTCCTAGGTCTCTTTCATTATTGAAGACCCTAGGGACATTTCTAAATTTGGGCCTTAAGAGGTTGCTGACTGTAAAATATGGATTGAAAAGAACATTTCCTAGTTTCCTAACCCTTGGATCAAGGACCGCCAGATCACATTTGCCATTTTCTCCCTTCTTGGTCTTTGGTCATTGCAGTTGAGTCTTAGCGTCAGCTTTCTCTCCCTTTCTCTTCTCTTCACCTATGCCTGGGCCCCATCTGGATGGCTTGCTGGCCCTCAGTGTAATTAGTTCCACCACAGAAGAGGCTTCAGCATTCAGGGCACATCCCGTTCCATCTAAAAAAAGGCCAACAAAGCAGTAGAGTACATTGCAAAGGTGTCAGATGGTAGGGATGACTTAATTGAAGACGTCAACACAAAAACAATAGCAAAGCCAGGTGACCTCTCAATGTGTGCTAGCTCAGAAAGGCTAAACTATCAGCGACTGAACTTTACGGATTCCTTCTGACTCCTTCTTCAGGTCCTTCCTGCCAAGCGCAGTATCTGACATATTGCTGGTGCACAGTAAGAGATTTTGAATGCTGGCTAGGATGCTGGAGACAGTCTAGAAGTGCAGAAGAGGTTCAAAATTGGGGTAAAAATGATCAGAGGAGGCATGAGCAGATTTTCTAGATGTCTTCTAAAAGGAGGGCAGTGTTGAGTTGAGCTTCAAAGGAAGTAGGCGATTGAAATTGCAAATGAGGATGGGAAGAACTTCCCAGGAAATAACAGCTCTGAGATGAGCTTGAACCCAGAGGTTCTCCCGGCGCTTTTGAGATTTAGATTTGCTCCTGATGTGGAAGAGGATACTGTGTGGTTGCAGAGGGAGGCAGCCTGCAGGTAGGCCTTCTCTGGGGATGCTCTTCACCCAGCTCCAACTATGCACCTGGCTGGTTGCTGTTCTCGGCATCTGGACAACTTCTGAGTCAAATGTGAGAAATCAGGATGGGGGCCAAGTGCCCAGGTGATGCACCCACATTCCAGGTCGGGTCACTTAGAGCCCATCCTCTGCAATGTCCTGGTGCCAGACCCACATATGTCCTCTCATCTGTCACATAACAGCTGCCCACTTAAACACCCATCTGAGCTCTGTAACTACAGCCAAAGTGTACGATCCATCCATGTCTTGGTCCATTGAGTGTTGCTATAACAGAATACCTGAGACTCCATAGCTAATAATGAAAAGAGGCTTATTTGGCTCATGATTCTGGTAGCTGGAAAGTTTAAGACCGGGCATCTGCACCTGGTGAGAGCCTCAGACTGCTTCGAGTCATGTGGAAAGCCGAACTGGAATCAGTGAGTACTGGTGAGACAGGAAGCGGGTGGAGAGAGGTGCCAGACTCTTAAAACGACCAGCTCTGGAGGGAGCTAATGGAACAATGACTTTCTCACCACCTCCTGACCCCAGGGAGGGCATTCATCCATTCGTGAAGGATCAACCCCCAGATCCAAACATTGGATCTCACCAGCACCACCTCCCAACATTGCCACATTGGGGATTCAATTTCAAGATGAGCTTGGGCGGGGAAAACCCAACTTTATCCAACCATAGCATCCCAACCTGTCCACAGATGATGAGTTTTCTCATTCCACCATCATTAGCCTCAGTGCTCTTCCAGGGTGCTCCACTGTGAGGGAGGATGACAAGGACACAGTGACTAACAAGGTGTGGGTGAGGGACGCATGCACCCAGCAGGTCTCTCCACAGGGCTGGCACAGGTGTCCTTTGATTTCCACTCCTTTCTTGGTGAAATATTTGCTGTGCTTATAGCCTTAGAGCAAATAGAATCATGAACCTCTATCTCCCAATTTAGATAGAGTCTACCGTCATATTCATGACCTTGCACTTTACAACAGCTACAATTTTTCCCCTTCTGAGGCATGAGTCTGCTACCTTGGGGAATTTGGGGAGAAGCAGGAATGGGGGTGGGCCTGGAGGTTCTTTCCACCCATGTTCCCTGCCCCACTTGCAGCAAGGGCACAGCCCCTGACCTTGAAGAAATCAGGGTCTAGTGGGTGAGTTAGAGATGGACGCTCTTGACCATTTGTTACTGGATTTACCTCCAAGTGCAGAGCAGCTCATCTTGATTCCAAGGTCTAGAAAAGGCCTAAGGGAGGCTTCACTAAAGGTTCAGTAGGAAAATCACCTGACCTCGCTGTGAGTGCTCAACCCACTGCTGGATATCAGAGGCTGCTCTTTTTCTCTCTCACTAGAAAGTAACAACAACCGGCCAGACACAGTGGCTCATGCCTGTAATCCCAGCACTCTGGGAGGCTGAGGTGGGCGGATCTTGGGTCAGAAGATAGAGACCATCCTAGCTACCACAGTGAAACCCTATCTCTACTAAAAATACAAAAAATTAACCTGGTGTGGTGGCACGTGCTTGTAGTCCCAGCTACTCAGGAGGCTGAGGCAGGAGAATAACCTGAACCCGGGAGGCGGAGGTTTCATGAGCCAAGATGGTGCCACTGCACTCCAGCCTGGGCAACAGAGCGAGACTCTGTCTCAAAAAAAAAAAAAAGAAAAAAAGTAATAACAACCAAGTTAACAGGGGAAAAAAGTCACAATTATTTGCAACAATTGTTCCCTTTCATGTAGAATAACTGACATGAAAGTGTTTGGGCTCCCAAAGTTAAAACATTCAAAGATGCCTGAATTTCTTCAAGGGGCTACAGACTCCGTTCTCCCATGAAAGGCCTGAACATTTACAGAGGAAAACAAAATGTGATATTTTAACACTTCTGGGATCTAAGTGTGCCAGATTTCTGTTTATACAAATTCTGGGTGAATGCAGCCTAAATTAATAGGGAATCATTTCATCTCCTCTTCTCACTTGGAGGAGATTGCCAAGAGCTGCTAGAATTGGTAAATTGGGGTTTTTCTTTAAAAAAAGAAAAGATAAAAAGGACATTGACTTCTCCACTGTATTTTAAAGGTCTGAGTGTCAGAAATTTATGAGTTCTAGCCTGTTGTCTTCTTTCAGCAGCAAAGCAGCCCCCAGTCCCCGTCCCCCCGCTGCCCAGCCACAGCAGCGGTGCCCACTGAGCTGAACCAGCCCCTCCCAGAGGACGGCAGCACGGACAGGGACAGCAGAATCACCCGGATCACTCGAGCGATGGCCAAGGAGGTGTTCCTGATGGCTCGGAGTTTGAGGAGGAGAGGATGTGTCCTGGTACTTGGGCTTCAGCCATCTGTGGTGGTGGGAGGACTGAGGATGGTATGGGGACATGGGGCTCCCAACTGCTGCCCTCCAGGAGCTGGGGTAGCCCTAGGCAGCTCCCAGGATGGAAGGGCCACACTGCGCGGCCATTCAGCACTCAGCATTTTATGTACTGTCTTCATTCTGGGCATATCGTAAAGTTCACCTCACGTCTCTTTCCCTCTCTTCTTTGGGGCTCAGTTACAAAGACTTTGTCTTATTCCAGCAGCGAGGATAATTTTCCAAAATCTACAACTTAGTAAAATCAAGGTCTCTTTCATACTCCAAAAGGATGAACTGAAGGGAGACACTGACATCTTTTTTTTTTTTTGAGACGGAGTCTCGCTCTGTCACCCGGATTGGAGTGCAGTGGTGCAGTCTCAGCTCGCTCTGCCTCCCGGGTTCATGCCATTCTCCTGCCTCAGCCTCCTGAGTAGCTGGGACTACAGGCGCCTGCCACCACGCCTGGCTAATTTTTTGTATTTTTAGTAGAGACGGAGTTTCACCGTGTTAGCCAGGATGGTCTCAATCTCCTGACCTCGTAATCCACCCACCTCGGCCTCCCAGAGTGCTGGGATTACAGGCATGAGCCACCGTGCCCGGCCTGACATCTTTTCAAATTTCCTGAAATAGAGGAAACAAGGACTGCAGCCACCTCAAGGATAGCTACTCAGGACCAGCACAGCCTGGCGAGGAGAGGGCTGCTCTCCACTGGCTTCTGGGGGCCACTTTCAATCATGTGTGGCTTGTTCTAACTCTCTTTATCCCTTTCCTTGATTAAATTTGGTTAAGCATCGTTTAATATCAATGCACCAACATGGAAAAAATAAAAGTCCATCTACTGAGTGTGTAGACTAAAAGGAAACAATTGAATGTCACCAAGAGCCATTCAGGAAACCCCTTCCAATGTGGATCTGCTGGGTTCTATTGGCTCCAAAATCCACGGCTGGGCCACATGGGGCCCCACTTTCTCACCCTGGCAGAGAGGGGTGTCCAGGAGTGAAGAGTGGGTGTCAAGGCATCCCCTGACTAGGTAACTACAAAGCCAAACCCAGCAGCCCCACCACACTTAAGACATGGACCTTTTCTTGTCCTTTCCTGCTCCCAACCACTGCCTACCACAGCCAATCAGCCTGTTGAACACCTGTGTGCCAGCAGCAAGCAAGAGCCACTCCTGCAGTCATTATCCAGGTTAGGGGACTGCAGTGTTAATGTGTGTAAAATAAAATACAGGAAAACGGGGTGGAGGGGGCTGTCTCTCACCCTTCCCTCTCCTGTCCTTTTAGTATTCCTTTTCATTCTTATTCTAAAGACCCATGCTTCTGAAATTAGGCAACCAAACGCCATTTAGTACAGGAAGAAAGCTGGTAGAGGCAAAGAGCTCACCCAGACCCAAGACTTATCCAAAGAGAAGCCAAAGATATGTTTTAGGACTCACTTGCTAATTCAAAACAAATTCTCAAAGGTATGAGGACCCACGCATTCTCCTAGGAGGTTGTAAACAACTAGCGCTGTCTTGGGTATCTTGGGTGCGTCTTGGTTTGGGATTGCCACACCAGTCTTTGAAAAGGAAGGAGCAGCACAATGCCGCATGACCGGGTGCAGGTCTGGCTAGTTTGGGAACAGCTGCTTGAGTCCTGCATTTCAAAAGAGCTTTCCCTGTTTCCAGAGGTTTCTCCCACTGGCCTGCCATGAGGTTGGAATTGCTAGAATTAGGTACTGGACATGGCTGTACTCATTTCCTTCTGACTGGAATTGCAAATCCATCTAATGCCGAGTTTATTAGGGTTGCTTTCTTGTTGACTGGACGAGCTGGGGCCACATGCCACACAGAGGAGAGAGAGCCAAGAAGTGGTTCCCCACCAGGGTCAGCCACTGAAAAGCATGGGGCAAGCAAAGTGAAGTCCTGCCCTCTGAGTTAGTGTCCGTTCTTAACGGCATTTAGGAGGCGCCTCTGCAGGGCGGCTGCAATAGCCTGACGCCGCTTTTCGTGCTTGCTGACAGCTAGAACGCCCCACTCCTTCCTGTCCCCCTCCTGCCCCCCATCTGTGTAAGCCAGTAGGAAAGCCCAGACTCGGCTGGGCGCAGTGGCTCACGCCTGTAGTCCCAGCACTTTGGGAGGCCGAGACGGGTGGATCACGAGGTCAGCAGATCGAGACCATCCTGGCTAACGCTAAAAAATACTAAAAAATACCGTCTCTACTAAAAAATACAAAAAACTAGCCGGGCGAGGTGGCGGGCGCCTGTAGTCCCAGCTACTCGGGAGGCTGAGGCAGGAGAATGATGTGAACCTGGAAGGCGGAACTTGCAGTGAGCCGAGATCCGACCACTGCACTCCAGCCTGGGTGACAGAGCGAGACTCCGTCTCAAAAAAATAATAATAATAAATAAAATAAAGAAAGCCCAGACTTGGCCTTCTTTGGCACCAGTGGTAAGTTTAAGCCACATAACCCTGGCCCATGTGTGGAAGCCCTCATCCCAGCCCAGTGTAAAAGCCAAGCCAGTCTCCTTTCCTTGCTCTTTCAAGCCGTGTCAGACCTGGTTGGTAGTCTGCCTGCTCTTCGGAAAGCCGCCTTCTGTGACTAAAACCCTTTTCATACCTTCTGGGTTCACATTTGGCATCATCAGTCCTGACATCTGAACCAGATATGGGGAGGGGAAGTCCATCCTCTCTGCAGGGTGCCAGTGCCTGCAACCTGGACTTGTGATGTTTCCTGGGTTTTCCTCTTCTGACTATTTCTACTTCCTATGGCCTGTTGAAGGGCCACTTACCTCCTCATCCCAGACCAGGAGGTGAGGTTTTGGTGTGGCTCTATATTTGCTGAAGCGGCCTATCTTTTATTTGTGTTAGTTGCCTCAAGATTCACCATTTTTTTTTAAGAGACAAGGTCTTACTCTGTTGCCCAGGCTGGAGTGCAGTGACACAATCATAGCTCACTGCAGCCTCAACCTTCTGGGCTCAAGTAGTCCTCCCAACACAGCCTCCTGAGTAGCTGGGACTACTGGCACACCACTGTGACCAGCTAATTCTTTTTTTGTAGAGATGGGGTCTCACTATGTTGCCCAGGCTAGTCTCAAACTCCTGGGCTCAAGCCATCCTCCCACCTTGGCCTCCCAAAGTGCTGGGATTACAGGCATGAGCCACTGCGCCTAGCTGTGTTTAAGATTTCATTTGAATAGAGGGTTCTGTTGCTTAAAAAAATAAGAAAAGGAATGGAAAAGTTGATTTAGTCCAAATGTCTCTTTTAAAGTAAAGAAAAATGAGGCCCAAAAAGGTCGAAATTTCAAATCAGCTAATGAATAGGTGGCTACAGTCTCTGAATCATTAGTTTCTAGCTGGTAAGCTCTACATGTGACTGTAGTCCTTTGGCCCTTGGTTCCAGCCACCACCCCCTTCAACCTGGATGTTTCCCATACCTGGCCCTCCCTAGGAACCTCATACCTGCCCTGGGCCTGCTGAAAACCAGCTCTGAGCCTAGTGGAGGCCACAGCCTCTGTAGGGATGGGCTAGATCATGACCAGGAGGCTGGGCTTCCTTCTCTTCAGCAGCCCCACACAGATAGATGGGCCCCTGCCACCTCATTCTGCTGGCTTTCAGGACAGTAAACTTCCTGCTAACCCAGGAAGATGTGAAGCCTTTGGAGGAAGTTCAGGAGATCACGGTTTAAGCTAAAATATGTTGATTTCGTGGGCTGAAGTAAGTTGTGCCAAGCAAGTTTTGGACACTTTTTGGTTTACCACCAATTTCTTGATATTCGAACTCTCATTTCTTTGATACAGACCAAAGATCAGCTCATTACCTCTGCTAGGAAAATTGCGACGTCTGGACAAGACTTCGCCAAACTCATCTGCATCATTGCTAAGAACTGCATAGATCAAAGATGTTCCCAGGAGCTTTTGTGTGTGGTGGAGCGGGTTCAAACAATGAGCAACCAGCTCCACATCATCTCCAGGTAGGAAGTAGCTCTGCTTTCTCAAGACCTGGGAGTGGGGTAGGGGTGACGTCATTCCTTTTAAAAATATACTTCTTTTTATTTTATTTTTGTTTTTATTTTTTGGAGACAGGGTCTCTGTCGCCCAGGCTGGAGTACAGGGGCACTACCATGGCTTACTGCAGCCTCCATCTCCTGGGCTCAAGTGATCCTCCCACCTCAGCCTCCTACATAGCTATGACCACAGGTGCATGCCACCACACCCAGCTGATTTATTTATTTATTTATTTATTTTGAGACGGAGTCTTGCTCTGTCGCCCAGGCTGGAGTGCAGTCGTGTAATCTTGGCTCACTGCAAGCTCCGCCTTCCAGGTTCACCCCATTCTCCTGCCTCAGCCTCCCAAATAGCTGGGACTACGGGCACCCGCCACCACGCCTGGCTAATTTTTTTGTGTTTTTAGTAGAGATGGGATTTCACCATGTTAGCCAGGATGGTCTCAACCTCCTGACCTCATGATCCGCCCGTCTTGGCTTCCCAAAGTGCTGGGATTACAGGCGTGAGCCACCGCGCCCGGCCCTGATTTTTTTTCTTTTTTGTAGAGACGAGGCCTGTCTATGTTGCCCAGGTTGATCTTCAACTCCTGGACTCAAGTAATTGTCCCTCCTCTGCCTCCCAAAGTGCTGGGATTACAGGCGTGAGGCATCACACCCGGCCTTTTTAAATTTTTTATCCTCCAAGAGTTTATATTTATTTGGGAAACATTAAATAAATATTCACAACATTTAAAAATATTAGAGGGCAAAAAACACACTTAAGCTAGAGCCATTTCTCATTTTATCACAACTACATTATATCTGATAATATACACAAGAAAGTGAAAAACGATTTAACCTGGGAAACTAGTTTCTGAGCAAGTGTGAACATAAAGTAACCATAAGAAATTTTTAAAAGTCAAATGTGTTAGAACTTAAGTTGCCCTTTAACACTGGTTTCTGCTCCCTTCAAAACTCCAGGTCCTGACTCCAGTGATACTGCCGTGTTTCCAACACTGCAGGGTTAATCTACAAACACAAAGGACTGATCTTACTTTAAAACAATGCCTGGGCTGGATGTGGTGGCTCACACTTGTACTCCCAGCACTCTGGAAGGGTGAGGCGGGTGGATCATGAGGTCAGGAGATCGAGACCATCCTGGCTAACACAGTGAAACCCCATCTCTACTAAAAATACAAAAATTAACTGGGCGTGGTGGCAGGTGCCTGTAATCCCAGCTACTTGGGAGGCTGAGGCAGGAGAATTGCTTGAACCTGGGAGGCTGATGTTGCAGTGAGCTGAGATGGTGCCACTGCACTCCAGCCTGGGCAACAGAGCAAGACTCCATCTCAAAAAAAACTAAAAAAAAAAAAAAATCCCTGAATTTTGACCATTACATCTCATTTGTGTTTTTACTAATCATATCTAACAAAAAACAATTGTATTTTAAAATACATTAATTGCAAAGTAAATGTACTGCAATTGTCATCTGCCAAAGAAAAACAATGCCAGCATGGTGCTTATATGAAAGTTAATCTATTCAATATGCTCAAACTCTGGAAGTGAGCAATTTTCATTAATTGTTTCCTTATAACAACTTCCCTATTGGTAATCTAGAACATCGTAATATAATTATAGAATCAGGTTTCATTTCAACCTGAGTCCCTTCGTTTCTACAGTGGCACATTTACCATTAACAAATTTCATTTAGTAATATTCTTACGGAAGAGCTTCATAGTTAGAACTATTATCAGTTGTTGTAAGGCATAAAAATTGCATTGCCAAAATCAAGGCATATAAATTGTTTTTAAATTAAAAATAAAACCTGGCTTCTGTTCTCCAGGAAATAATATTTCAGGCACATCATTGTCTTAAGATTAGCTACTGGGCCCGGTGCAGTGGCTTGTGCCTGCAATCCCAGCACTCTGGGAGGCTGAGGTGTGCAGATCACTTGAGGTCGGGAGTTTCAGACCAGCCTGGCCAACATGGTGAAACCCTATCTGTACTAAAAATACAAAAATTAGCTGGGTATGGTGGTGCATGCCTGTAATCCCAGCTACTCAAGAGACTAAGGCTTAAGAATCGCTTGAACTTGGGAGTCAGAGGTTGCAGTGAGCCGAGATCTCGCTGCTGAACTGGGCAACAGAGCGAGACTGTCTCAAAGATACAACAACTACAATTAATTTTAGCATTGCAAATATGAGTATTGTTGTAAGGGTACCCAAGACTTGCTTTAATCAGGTAGACATGGATACGAAACACACAGACATGGAAATGACCATCATGAAAGGGGAAGTCGTTACACTCACAGATCCCTAGAAACAGAAGGCACAGATGCCATGTAGGGCCACCAGGGAAGCACCAGGGTCGGTCAAAAGGCAGAAGTCAGGAGGAACCATGGGCAAGAACATTTACTGTGGTTTTCACAGGAAGGAATGGGTGAGGCAGGGAAAGCAGGCTAAGCAGTTGAGGACTGGTTAGTTTGAATCATTTTGTTGGGCTCTGGGGGTCTAGGGGTTGTCTCGAGCTGTCTGGAACCTGGCCTTGGGATGATTAAGACAGGTGACTAGCAGCTTGGAATGTCCGAGCTTGATGAAGGAGGTGGTTGGGGACTTTGGGCTCTGGATTGGTTGGTTCGTGTATGGAAGGTGTGCTTAGAGGTGAATCGTTTACTATCCCTAGGAATTGACTAGCCCTAGGAAGTGGCAGTCTCCGAAATACAGACAATAAAAAGGCATGATTGTTTTAAACACAGGTTTATTTATCAAGCTATCAATCCTCTAAAGGATCTGGAAGTCCTGAAATTTTGCCAAAGTTGAAGTCACTTAAGTTTCACAGCATTTTCATTCTCAATGGTAGAAAACAACTTGTTTAACTAAATTTAGTTACATTCAGTTTCAAACAAATACCATTGAGATGTGTAATTCAATTAGGAAGTATGAGCCTGATTTCTAATTAGAACTTTTCTTTTCTTTTTTTGTTTTTTTAAGACGGAGTCTCACTCTGTCACGCAGGCTGGAGTACAATGGCATGGCCTCGGCTCACTGCAACCTCTGCCTCCTGGGTTCAAGCGATTCTCCTACCTCAGCCTCCCGAGTAGCTGGGATTACAGGCACGTGCCACCACACCCAGCTAAGTTTTGTATTTTTAGTAGAGATGGGGTTTCACCATGTTGGCCAGGCTGGTCTCGAACTCCTGACCTTGTGATCTGCACACCTCGGCCTCCCAAAGTGCTGGGATTACAGGCGTGAGCCACTGTGCCTGGCCTGATTAGAACTTTTAATCCTAGCCCCCAAAACATTTCTATACAACATTTCTCATTCTCTTTCATTAGATATGGTAGTTGGCATTTGTTCTGCTTCTCAATTATTTTCATTGAAAACATACTTCTTAATTTATAGATACTGTCATATTTTCTTAAATAATACTTGTATTTTAAAAAGTTAATTTAGACCTTTAGAACATTCTTTCTCTGTGTGGGGCATGGTGGCTCACACCTATAATCCCAGCACTTTGGGAGGCTGAAGCAGGAGGATTGCTTGAGGCCAGGAGTTCAAGACCAGCTTGGCCAACATGGCAAAACCCCATCTCTCCTAAAAATACAAAGATTAGCCATATGCAGTGGTGCATGCCTATAGTCCTAGCTACTCATGAGGCTGAGATGGGAGAACTGCTTGAACCTGGGAGGCAGAGGTTGCAGTGAGCTGAGATTGTGCCACTGCACTGCAGCAGCCTGGGTGACAGAGCAAGACTGTCTTAAAAAAAAAAAAAAAAAAAATTCTTTCTCTGAATAGTCCCCAGTCCTCACAGAAGCATCCCAGCTTTCTGAAAGAGAGTCACATTGTAAAACCTCCTAGTACTTACTTGAGATTGCATCTGTTACTTGGAGTAAAATCCACTTTTCTCCATCAACTTCCAAGTGTAAAGGCCTCCCTGGCAAGGAGCAAGTCCTCTGAAGAGCTCCTAGTGGAAAATGCACAGCAGCTCCTCCAGGCTGTCTTCAAGACCATGAGGGCTGCAGAAGCTGCGAGTCTCCGGGTAAGTGCTGACTCAGAGAGTGGGGGCTGGCCTGGGGTACACATGCGCACCACATCTCAGGGTATCAGGCCCACAGACACGTGGCAAGCTGGGGACATTCACAGCATACCCTACCTTCCTGTTAGTGGCTATATTCAACTTTGTTCCTTTCCCACACCTGTCACCTGATTCCTGTGTGTTTCAGTTTGGCTAATTTCCCTCAATCTACCTTCAGTTTCACTGATCATTTCTTCACCTGTATCTAGTCTTCTGATGAGCCTGTGAAAAGCATTCTTTATAGCTGTTACCATGTTTTTCCTTATGTGTAGCATTTCTGTTTTTAATAGTTTTTTTCTCTTTATTCAAATTATCCATTTTTTGTCCTTTTTGTCCGCTTTTCCCACTCATATTATTTTAATTTTCCTATCTAATAATTTCAACGGGCTCTGGGATATAGGGGTTGTCTCTAGCCGTCCTTGGTATGATTAGGGCAGGTGACTATCAGCCCTGAATGTTAGAGCTTGATGAAGGAGGTGGCTGGGGGTGTGGGCTCTGGATTGGTTAGTTCGCATATGGAAGGTGTGCTTGCAGGTAAATCATTTTGCCCTAGACAAAACCCGACACATAGATGCGGACTTTTCTTGTGTTGTAGCTCCATGGGTTTTATACACTCACACTAGCCTATTCTTGGCTGTTAGCAGTTTGTTAAAGTTTTGGATTAAATCTTCTTATCAGATTATGTGCCAGCCCATCTTCCTCCTGTGCTGTGTTCCATGTAAGCCGGTGCTTATCTCTGTCTCTCCTTGGAGGTCGCTGTCTTTTCTAACTAGTTAGTTGCCCTTCAACCTTAGCTCTCTAATGGGTTCAAGAAAAGTTATATTTTTGTAGGTTATCTGACTTTCTCCTCCTTGTTAGGATGAGAACAATACTCTTGCCAGCTTTCTGTATCCTAAGTGGAAGCTGGAAATAGAAAGTATTTGAGTGCCCACCAGAACACCTTGCTCGGGGCTTCTGTGTGTGCTGTCCCACATGTGCGAGACCCACCCCTGCCCCTGCACTTCCACCGCCCCTGCCTGGCTCCTTGTTATCTTTTAGACCTGAACTGAAATTCCACCTCCTCAGAAGGGATGACACACCTTCACTATAGCTAAACTAAATCACACTCACTTTCCTCTATCTTAGTATGTTGTATGATTCTTTTGTAGCACTCGTCACAGTTTGTAAATATACATTTGTTTTCATTCCTTGCATTTATTTATTTGGCTCTTTTCTTTTTTTTTTTTTTTTTTTTTGAGACGGAGTCTCGCTCTGTCGCCCAGGCTGGAGTGCAGTGGCCGGATCTCAGCTCACTGCAAGCTCCGCCTCCCGGGTTCACGCCATTCTCCTGCCTCAGCCTCCCAAGTAGCTGGGACTACAGGTGCCCGCCACCACGCCCGGCTAGTTTTTTGTATTTTTTTAGTAGAGACGAGGTTTCACCGTGTTAGCCAGGATGGTCTCGATCTCCTGACCTCGTGATCCGCCCGTCTCGGCCTCCCAAAGTGCTGGGATTACAGGCTTGAGCCACCGCGCCCGGCCTTGGCTCTTTTCTTAGAATGTAAACTCCATGAAGCCACAGACCTGACTAGTGGTCTAGTGTGCTCAGGTGTTGAAAATAGAATGAGAGTTTTCATTTCAAGTTTAAAGAAACTTTGTACCAGTTAAGTTCATAGCACATAGAGGAAACATGCTCAGTGAAAACATTTTTAAAATGTGCAGATTTCAACTACAAGTTCCAGAGTTTCTTGAATATAAAGAAAGCTGAGAGAAAAGCTCAGGCCTGGCCCCTGTAGAACAGCGTCTCTCCCTCCCTGCGAGCTGTGGTCACAGCCCATGGCTTTCTGCTGATCCCGCAGTGCCAACCACAGCACTGAGGCAGGACTACTGCCTTTCCCGCATCTCTGGACTGTTTGGATGCAAGAGAACCTGAGACGCGGGCTGAGCATCCGTGGCATACAGCTGTGTCCTGACTCCGCTTGGGCCACCGGCCTAAAGACCCATGGATGTTCTGCATGAAGCAAACCGAATAAAGTAATATCCAAAGGGAGGAAGAAATTGGAGTGGAGGGAGAATTTCTAAAAACCAGCTACATTCTCAGAACTTTCCACTGGGATCAATATAAAGCCCTTTGGTGCCTTTTGCTCCTTCTTTCAGAATGGGTAGGCTGCAATTCAGGGCAGCTCTGCACATGTGATTCCCTGATCCCTGTACAATTAGGGCTGGAACATCAGAAACCTGGTCCCTACCCCGCTCAGAGGAATCCCATAAGGAAGACTGCAATCAGCTGAAACTGGGCAAGTGCACAGCGTCCCCCAGTGCTGAATTATCTTTCTCTCCTCCAGGGTTTGAGAGAACCTTCCCCAGATCCGGAGGAACTGGAAGTTGCTGCCTTCTGCCTGCAGTGGAGGAGGAAGCTGCTAAAGCACAGACTTCAAGAAACCTCAAACACGGCCTGTGATGAGCTGGGCTTGCGGAATACAAGCACTAAACCACCCCCAACACTCGCTACCCTGGTTCACGAAGCAGTATAAAAGCGAAGAGATAGCTCCCAGTCAAGCTCCCTGTTGACCTGTACTCTGACCTGACACTCTGGCAGCCTGTGGGAAGCGCCTTTTTTTTTTTTTTTTTTTGAGACGGAGTCTCGCTCTGTCGCCCAGGCTGGAGTGCAGGGGCGCGATCTCGGCTCACTGCAAGCTCCTACTCCCGGGTTCACACCAGTAGCTGGGACTGTTTCCATGTATTCTCATTGTTCAGTTCCCACTTATGAGTGAGAACATGCGGTGTTTGGTTTTCTGTTCGTGTGTTAGTTTGCTGAGAATGACAGTTTCCAGCTTCATCCATGTCCCTGCAAAGGACGTGAACTCATTCCTTTTTATGGCTGTGTAGTATTCCATGGTGTATATGTGCCACCATGCCTGGCTAATTTTTTGTATTTTTAGTAGAGATGGGGTTTCACCATGATGGTCTCGATCTCCTGACCTTGTGATCCACCCGCCTCGGCCTCCCAAAGTGCTGGGATTACAGGCATGAGCCACTGCACCCGGCCTGGGAAGCGCCTTTTAAGTTGAATCAGACTGCAGGGTTACAGGGTGATGCGGTGGTTTTGGGTGGGTGCAGTATGGCCAGGGTCCAGCCTTGCACAAGGCTGCTCTGACAACATTACTTGTTAGGGAACATCCCTGGGACCCTGGTGAGGCTGATTTCCTCGTGGGAAGGACACACGTTTCTTGGCTTGGAAAGAACAGCACATGTAAACTGTGGAAGGAGAAGGAAAAATCCAAGTACCGTCAGCTTAAGCCCTTATTAAGGTGTTATGATGGGAGACCATTCCCAGAATGTTCTGCAGGGAGCCAGGAACTAAAAGATGTATAAGTTAGATAGAGGCAGTGAGTCAGAGCTCCCCTTGCTCAGGTCTGCAGACACTGTTCAAATTCCGAACTGATGGGAACCAGGTGTGCTAGTCAGGGGACAGGATGCAAGGACTGCGCATCGGGGCCGCTGAGCTCAGGCGCTATCTTGTAAATCTGGGTTTAGCATTTGGGATGGAGAGGAGCAGTTGGGAGCTAAGGCCTTCGCTGAGGCAGTAGGAGTTTTTCAGTTCTTCGGTGCCTTTCACAAAACCTATTTGGGTAAAGGAGAGCAAGGAGACTGGTGACTTTCACCTCACAGGCTGAAGCTCACGGCCAGGAGCAGAGACCTGAGTCCCCACGAAGGGTCAGGGAAGGAGGCTGGGGGTGCAGACTGGGATTGGTGTTACCCTGGAAGCAGGGGCGAGGGTCTTGCTTGTCTGGGGGTCACTGTAAGCCTTTTAGATTCTAGCACAGCCCTTTGCGGGGAGGGGCCAACTGACTTGCTGGATTATAGGTGCTTTGCAATTTTCTTATAACATTTTGAAACCAAAGTCCTTTTTGAAGTCTCAAACATTTTTGTAGATTTTTGAAAAAGCTGGAGGGCTGGGTGCGGTGGCTAATGCCTGTAATCCCAGCACTTTGGGAGGCCGAGGCAAGAGGATTGCTTGAGCCCAGGAGTTTGAGGCCAGCCTGGGCAACATAGTGAGAGCCCACCTCTTGAAAAAAAAATGCTAGGGGACCTGGGAATGTGCACACACCTCATGGATAGAGGCCCCTGATTTGACATCTTGGTCTGTCATGTCATAGCTAGCATTGGCTGAACTCCTGCTGAGGAGCAGATGTTGTGTGAGGTACTGGGGAGAGGGAGGCAAATACAAAGAGAGCTCACGGTGCAACAGAGGAGACATAGACAGCCGGCTGAGATGGAATCGGATCAGTACCATGGGAGCACACAGGGAACACTCAGTCCTCCCATGCAGATCCAGATGTGTGATAGACCAAGTGGAGAAGCCACCAGAAAAGGGTCTTGACTGCCAAGCCAGTGAGTTTAGACTTCCTGTAGAGATGAGGAAGTCGTGGAGGGTTTTTAAGCCAAGGAGTGGGGGGATGCTAGCTGCATTACCGGTTGCTGCGTAGAGGACTTCAAATGGTGTTCTCTCCCCGTGTTCCTTGCACCTTTGAGGTGATTCAGCAGTGGCATCCAGCACCCCCACCCCAACATTCAGCCAGAATGTCTCTGCTATTATCCACGTTGTACACTCGGGTTTCACAGAAATGCTTCATTTGGAAAACGTAGAATGTAAACTCCTTGAGGACAGTCTTTTCATTCACTAAGGAACCAAGTACTGGCCCTGAGTAAGTGCTCAATAAATATTTGATGAGTTAATATGAATATGTGATGCAGGGAATTGATTTGAGTGTTGGCATAGTTTAGATTATTATTCAGCAATTACTTACCCTGCTACCAGTTCCACTGTGGCAGAGCACACTTTCCTGGACTAGATGTTAGTCTTGGCTGTGTAATTTGCTGTCGCAATGGAATGTCAGTGGATGTGATATGATGTGAGCAGAGACTTGAAATGTGCTCGTATAGTTGGATTTATTCCTTTATGTTCCTGTGTTTCGCATTAAGAACATGCCTTCGGGCTGGGCGCCGTGGCTCACGCCTGTAATCCCAGCACTTTGGGAAGCCAAGGCAGGTGGATCACTTGAGGCCAGGAGTTCAAGACCAGCCTGGCAAAACCCCATCTCTACCAAAAATAGAAAAATTAGCTGGGTGTGATGGCACAGGCCTGTAATCCCAGCGACATGGGAGGCTGAGGCAGGAGAATGGCGTGAACCCGGGAGGCAGAGCTTGCAGCGAGCCGAGATCGTGCCACTGCACTCCAGCCTGGGAGACAGCAAGACTCCGTCTCAAAAAAAAAAAAAAAAAAAAAAAAAAAAAAAAAGAAAGAAAAAATATGCCTTCATGAGCTGCTCACTAAAGAGAATAGGATGTGGACCTTAGCTGCAGCTTGACAAATGGATACACCTGTGTAACCACCCACACTCACTCTATACAGTGTTTTCCAGGTCCTCAGAAGTTCCTTGTGCACCTTAAAAGGAAAATTTCCCCCATCCCTTGCCCCAAGCAAGCTTTAATTTGCTTTCAGTAACTACAGATTAGTTTTGACTGCTCTAAAATGTTATATAAAAGGAATCACGTGGTAACTTTTGCATCCGAATTCTGTCATCCACATTTTTGATACACCGCGTGTTACTCTGTGTGTCAGTAGTTTGTTACGTGTTATGGTTGAGGAGCATTTCATTTGTGGATATAGCATATTATCTTCAGATAATATGCTATTGGCCATTTATATATCTTTTTTTTCTTTGCCTTGCTTCTTGTTTTTGTTTGTTTTTTTGTTTGTTTTCTTGTTTTTGTTTTTGATTTTGTTTGGAGACGGAGTCTTGCTGTGTCACCCAGACTGGAGTGCAGTGGCACGATCCCGGCTTACTGCAACCTCTGCCTCCTGGGTTCCAAGTGATTCTCGTGCCTCAGTCTCCTGAGTAGTTGGGATTACAGGCACCCACCACCATCCATTTGCATGTTATAGATATTTGGATTCTTTGCAGGTTTTTGCTATTTTGAATATAGTATGAATGTATGAGATGTTGTGTGAACAGATTTATTATTTCTCTTGAGTAAATAGAGCATTCTTTTCTTCTCTGTGAGGGAGATACTCCAAGACTCCAGTGGATGCCTGAAACTATGTTTTCTGTATACATACATACCTATGATAAAGTCTAATTTATAAGTTAGACACAGTGAGAGTGACAAACAACAACTCATAATAAAATAGAGCAATTATAACAATATACTGTAATACAAGTACAATAAGAGTGACTTGAACACAAGCCCGGGGATTCTGCAGCAGTCAATCCGATTGCCAAGATGGCTACTGAGTAATGGGCAAGTAGTGTATACAGCGTGGAGACACTGCCCAAAGGGATGGTTCATGTCCCCAGTGGGACAGAGCAGGATGGCGTGAGATTTTTATCATGCTACTCAGAGCAGTGTGCAATTTAAAACTTACAAATTGTTTATTCCTGAGATTTTTTATTTATTTATTTTGAGGCGGAGTTTCGTTCTTATTGCCCAGGCTGGGGTGCAATGGCGTGGTCTTGGCTCACTGCAACCTCCGCCTCCTGGGTTCAAGTGATTCTCTTGCCTCAGCCTCCCAAGTAGCTGGGATTGCAGGCACCTGCCACCATGCCTAGCTAATTTTTTTGTATTTTTAGTAGAGACAGGGTTTCACCATGTTGACCAGGCTGGTCTTCAACTCCTGACCTCAGGTGATCCTCCCACCTCAGCCTCCCAAAGCGCTGGGGATTAAAGGCATGAGCCACCACGCCCAGTCTCTGTTGAGTATTTTTGGACTACAGTTGACCATGGGTAACCGAAACCAATGAAAGCAAAACTGCAGATAAGAGGGAACTACTATGAATGGGAGTAGAATTGTTGAATAAAATGCTACTTGCATTCTTACTTGTATGGGAAACTATTTTCAAAAATGGTTGTTCCATTTGACATTCACACCACCTGTTATTGCCAGTCTGTAAATTTGTTCATTCTCAAAGGTGTGTAATGACGTCTCATTGTGATTTTAATTTGCATTTCCTTAATGACTAATCTTTTCTGGTCCTACGGGCCGTTTTCATATCTTTTTTTCTTTGCCTTGCTTCTTGTTTTTGTTTGTTTGCTTGTTTTTGTGTTTTTGTTTTGAGACGGAGTCTTGCTATGTCACCCAGACTGGAGTGCAGTGGCATGATCCCAGCTCACTACAACCTCTGCCTCCTGGGTTCAAGTGATTCTTGTGCCTCAGTCTCCTGAGTAGTTGGGATTACAGGCACCCACCACCATGCCCAGCTAACTTTTTGTATTTTTAGCAGAGAGAGGTTTTCACTATGTTGGCCAGGCTGGTCTTGAACTCCTGATTTCAAATGATCCACTTGCCTCAACCTCCCAAAGTGCTGGGATTATAGGTGTGAACCACTGCACCTGGCCTGGTTGCTTATTTTCTTAACAATGAGTAATAAAAATTCCCTATATATCCTGTATACAAGTCCGTTGTGTTACTAGTATTTTATTCCAGTCAGGGACCTGCCTGTTTGTTTTCATAAAGATGTCTTATAAAGAGGAGAAGTTAAAACTTTTTGGTGGAAGCAAATTTATTTTTTTCTTTGCAATTCATGCTTGTGTGTTATATCTAAGAAATGTATGCCTACCGCAAGATTGCAAAGATTTTATTCTCTGTTTTTTTTTCTCTAAGTTGTGTGTGTTTATT